TCCCCAAAGAAGTGAGAAAAAAATATTCAAAAAGCTGGCAAATCACTGTTGCCAAGGACAAACAAATTACATTTTTCTTTTGGCAAGTACTTTTTTTGGAAAGAAATACTAAGGCAATGAAGAGAGAATGACAGCAGAAACAACCAACATTTCTCTGGTTATTTGCAGTTTCAAGAACATTTTTGCGTATCCAAGCATATTTGAAACAATGGAAAACAGAGCAAAAACAGAGAATCATTATGAAATGTATTTTTATCATAGATAAGTTAGTATACTTTTTTACATGACAAAAAAATCAGTATCAGGTAGTATCTATTCTGAATATTCTCTCAATGGCAAGAACTAGAAGGAAAAGCCAAACAAAATTCTTATTTTGGGTCCTCCTTTTCTGTCTATTACCTACTAAAGGTATAACTTCATTTGTAAAATGAATGTCCCTAAAAATACATGCATAGCTGTCATATTACCTTCAAATCTAAGGAGGAAAAAAAGCTATTTCAATGTATGATTGAACATAAATATGTTTTAAGTTAAAAATAATTTATAATATGATATAAACACACCCCGGGTCAGGCAGAGTGGGTCATGCCTATAACCCCAGCACTTTGGGAAGCTGAGGCAAGAGGACTGCTTGAGGCCATGAGTTTGAGACCAGCCTGGGGAACACAGTGAGATCTTGTCTCTACACAAATGTTTTAAAATTTAGCTGGATGTGCCCAGAAGTTTGAGGCTGCAGTGAGCTATCATCATACTATATTGTAGCCTGAGTGAAAGAGCAAGGCCCTGTCTATAAACAAAACGAAACAAAAAAAAGGCTCCCAAATCATCTACTTTGTAAGTTCAGATTTTCACCTATGATTTACGGATTGTATAATACTCTTTTTCTATGTTTATGCACATACATACATGTACATATATTCATATATATACACACATATTACACATACTTACATATCACAGTACAGAATGCCTTAAAAAAGTACTGAGTGGTATTCAATGTTACAGGACTGGAGGACCTTAAGGAATTCCTGAAACAGTGTTAGAGAAACCTCAGGGTCACTGGAGTCAGCTTGTACCAGCTCATGGGAGTCAATTGTTAGCATCTTTTCCCAACTCCACATTCAGTGACATTGTGTTGATGACTTAAAATCAGCCATGGTGGAATTATTTACACCACAGAAATCAGTAAACACTAGGAATTGGTGATTCTACTCACCCTTGCCACCAGCCAGTTGTTAAGCATTTACAAGAATGCCGCTGTTCCTAAAATATATTTCAAGAATTACTGCTATAGAGAAGGCACGATGCTAATGGAAAGGCATATAGAGATAAAAATGATGAAAGAGACAACTTTGAAGCACAGGAATAAAATCAGATCTAAAAATAAAAGGAGATTCTTATGATAAACTCTGAACAAAAGGATAGAAGCATTAAGAAGAAAAATGCCTTCCCTAGCTGAGAAAAAATATGTTTTAGTGTTCAAAAGGTTTAAAATGTACCAGGAAAAATTAATTGAAGGAACACAATTAAGGTTGGGAATGTCCTCAGTTTCTCAGAGAAAAGGAAAGTCTTGCAAGCATCTTAGCAGGAAAAAATAGGTTACCAACAAAGGAACAAAAAACATGCTAGCTTCAGACTTTCTATAAACTGAAATATCAAAGTTTATTGACCAATATCTAAAACATTAGGGTTTTAAAGATAAAATACAGAACATGATTCAAGAACTATACATGAAGAGAAGTTTCTGTTCATCCTCCAAGATAATAGTCATTTTCAGAGATCAATGGCTAAAATATCTGACTCTCATGCATCTTTACTGAAGAAAGATTTTTAAAATTATATTTCCAGTTATCATCAGATAAATCAAAATCAAGGCTAAAGAATAAGTAAGTTGTGAGAAAAAAGACCATCAATGCATGGCCTATCGTTAATTATAAATATAATTACACTATTGAGTGCAAACACTACAATTCAATATTAAAAAGAAAGTTAAATGATTAGCAAAAACCACAAATAACATGTGTGTTCATACAGGGGAGTAGGTGTGAAGGGGTGTCAAGTTCAAGGGAGAAGTAGAGGGACAAATGAAATGTATTAGATCATTGCGTAACATAGGAGGAGTCAAAAGTTATTGTTTCATCTTGACTTTGGTAATTAGATAAATGCCTGTTAAAGTATGTTTTTAAAAACATGCCAATAGCCGCCAATTAGAACACACAACAGAATGTGAATGTACCTTTTGAATACCTTCAGATATACAAGTAAACATAGTTCACAGAGCAAAAGACAGAAACACTGTGTACAGTGCAGTAACATAAAAATCAAAACATAAAACAAGATGATAAAAATAAAACCATACACTCAATTTTTTTTTCTTGAGATAGGGTCTTACTCTGTCACAGCACAATCACGACTTACTGCAGCCTCAACCTCCATGTTCAAGTGATCCTCCCACCTCAGCCTCCTGAGTAGCTGGGACTACAGGTGAATGCCACCATACCCCGCTAATGTTTGTATTTTTTTGTAGAGATGGGGTTTTACCATGTTTCCCAGGCTGGTCTCAAACTCCTGGCCTCAAGCAGTCCGCCCACTTCAGCCTTCCAAACTGCTGGGGTTAGAGCAAACCACCACACATGGCCCATACACTCAATTTTGACAATAAATATTGATCTTTTAAACTGCTGTCTTAAAAAGGCAAAGAGAATGAATTTTAAAATAGAAGTTAGCTACGTGCTACATATAAAAGATAAACCTAAAATCCCGCATCACAAAGGTTAAAAATACAGAGAAATGTAGTTATTCCACAAAAAGAACAAGCAAAAGAAAACAAAGGTAACTATGTTGATAGCAGTTAAAAACTTCAGGCCGGGCGTGGTGGCTCACACCTGTAATCCCAGCACTTTAGGAGGCTGAGGCGGGCAGATCACGAGGTCAGGAGTTCAAGACTGGCCTGGCCAACATAGTGAAACCCTGTTGCTACTAAACATACAAAAATTAGCCTGGAGTGGTGGCAGGCACATGTAATCCCAGCTACTCGGGAGGCTGAGGCAGGAGAATCGTTTGAACCCGGAGGCAGAGGTTGCAGTAAGCTGAGATCACTTCATTGCACTCCAGCCTGGGTGACAGGGCAAGACTCTGTCTCAAAACAAAACAAAACAAAATGAATTCAAGGCAAAGAAACTTCAACCAGCATAAAGAATATCACTTCATGTGAATAAATGCTATAATCTGTAATGAAACATGATGCTTATTAACCTTTGTTAATAAGGTTGTAAAATAACATCAAAATAAAGAGAAGCTTGATCATAATAGGCAACTAATATATCACTATTATGATGACATATCAAGAATTTATATGTATATACACCCAGAAATTTTGTTCTCTATAAGAAACTCTGGGCCGGGCACAGTGGCTCCTGCCTATAATCCCAGCAATTTGGGAGGCTGAAGTGGGTGGATCACCTGAGGTCAGGAGTTTGAGACCAGCCTGGCCAATGCGACGAAACCCTGTCTCTACTAAAAAATACAAAAATTAGCCGGGTGTTGTGGTACGCGCCTGTAGTCCCAGCTACTTGGGAGGCTGAGGCAGGAAAATCGCTTGAACCCAGGAGGCGGAGGCTATAGTGAACCGAGACAGTACCACTGCACTCCAGCCTGGGTGACAGAGCAAGATTCCATCTCAAAAAAAATAAAAATAAAAAATAAAAGAAGCTCTGTTTTAAGTATCCATGGATGACTTTTGGAAATTAATTATAAACTAGTATACCAAGAAATCTCAATAAATTCCAAAAATTAGAAATAATTCAGTCCACATTTCTTGACCAGAGTGCCTAATTAAAAGCAGAAGCTCAACTGAAGAAACTTCAACTACTTAGAACCAAAAATCTTGCTCTAAATAATACTGGGTCAAGGCCAGGCATGGTGGCTCCCGCCTGTAATCCTAGCACTTTGGGAGGCCAAGGTGGGTGGATCTCTTGAGGTCAAGAGTTTGAGAACAGCCTGGCCAACATGATGAAACCTCGTCTCTACTAAAATTCAAAAATTAGCGGGGTGTGGTGGCACATGCCTGTAATCCCAGTTACTTGGGAGGCTGAGGCAGGAGACCTGCTTGAGCCCACGAGGCAGAGGTTGCAGTGAGCTGAGGACGTGTTGCTGCACTCCAGCCTGGGCTATAGAGGAAGACTCTGTCTCAAAAAAAAAAAAAAAAAAAAAAAATTTTAAATAAATAAATAAACAAACATTACTGAGTGAAAGAGGAAAGCAAATATAGAATAATTGGTTTAGAAAGCTAAAACAATACTTATCAAATTACACAAACTTTTCCCAAATTCTTATTTAGAAGTCATTTCATGACCGTATTTTTTTTTTTTTACTTTTAAAAGGAGAGAAATCAAATCATGCAAATGCAAAAATATAAATTAGCTCCTAGTTTAATTATTGGTTTACTGATAAGTATCTAACAACTGGCTTTCCAAAAAAGTATGCATATAAATGTATGTGCATTAAATTTTATATTTTACTATTTTGCAGATATAAAGGATGTGTAGCATGCAACTTACAAATGATAAAATATACAATATTCTTTACTGTTAATTCCACTTAGTCAATCAATTCTCACACAATGTTTTCATTGACTTTTGTCAATGAAACTCTTATAAATGTAGCCAGCCAACCAATGGTTGAACTTGAAGAATGATTACAGTTCCAATATGAATTATGTTATTAACATTAATAAGACACGTGATATATGTCAAAGAGGTATGTTCAAAATCTGCTTGTTAATGATGTGAGTGCCTTCTTTGCTAAATCAAAGAATAGTTTTCAAGTATTGAGAGAATATTTCCTCAATATTTTGTGCTATTTCACAATGTTGTGGCTACAGACATGACCTACTTTTAATTTGCTTCATTAATTGTGTTCTCTATCACTTTAAGTCTAAACAATCAACTGAACAATAAATCAAGCCCCGATTTGTAGTGTTTGATGTTTTCCATGGTATAGAATACTTCCATATTGGCCAATTCCAAGCTATCAGTGAGAGGTCACCAAACACGGAGTTGGGAAGAAATGTGCAGTAGCACTCCATTCTGCAGTATTTTCACCGTAGAGATACAATGGACATAAATAACTACAAGAACACAGGTAAAGTAACATGCAGAAAAATATTAGAAAGTAATGAGTTTTAAGTATTTCTTGCCTGTATAAGAATTTTAGGACTGGGCGCGGTGGCTCATCCCTGTAATCCCAGCACTTTGGGAGGCTGAGGTAGGCGGATCATGAGGTCAGGAGTTCAAGACCAGCCTGACCAATATCGTGAAACCCCGTCTCTACTAAAAATACAAAAAAATTAGCCAGGCATGGTGGTGGGCGCCTGTAATCCCAGCTACTCAGGAGGCTGAGGCAGGAGAATCTCTTTGAACCTGGGAGGCAGAGGTTGCAGTGAGCCAAGATTGTACCACTATACTCCAGTCTGGGTGACAGAGCAAGACTCCATCTCAAAAAGAATAAATAAATAGAAAGAATTTTAGATATGTAAGAAAGAATCACACATCACTTAATAAAAATTTTATTCAATAAATGATGCTGAAATAATTGGTTACTTATTTAACAACATTTAAAATGTAAAACTAGGCTGGGCGCAGTGGCTCATGCCTGTAATTCCAGCACGTTGGGAGGCTGAGGAGGGCGGATCACCTGAGGTCAGGAGTTTGAGGCCAGCCTGACCAACATAGAGAAACCCCTCTCTACTTAAAATACAAAATTAGCCGCATATGGTGGCACGTGCCTGTAATCCTAGCTACTTGGGAGGCTGAGGCAGGAGAATCGCTTGAACCCGGGAAGCAAAGGTTGTGGTGAGCTGAGATCGCGCCATTGCACTCCAGCCTGGGCAACAAGAGCAAAACTCCGTCTCAAAAAAAAAAAAAGTAAAACTATGCTTAGCTTATATACTGCAAAAAAATAGGCCTTGGGCCACATGGGTTATAGTTTGCTGACCCCTGATTTAGATCATCACTTCATTCATCTACCAAGATTAATTACAGATTGATTATATATTTAAGTAAAAATACATGAACACAGAAAAATAAGCAAATGTATATTAAATGCCTGACAGGAGGAAGACTCTCTATGTTTAAGAGCATCAGAAGAAATTTCAAAGGGAAAGCTTTATAGATTTGACTAAAAAACTGTGGCAGCTTAATTAGTGGGATAAATAGAAAATATGGTGCCACTTCTTAAGCTGGCACATTTGCAGAAAATGGTTAGAGTCAGAAGATAAAGAAAATTATCAAAAATTATTACACAGAATTTTCTGTGTAAGCTTTTCTAAATGTCTCATCACTGTTATTTTTCAAAGGAGCTTTAAAAAGCTATGTTCTCAAAAATAGTTCATTCTTTCACAATAGTTTGAGAAATGTTTTCCCAAAGTCAAATTTGAATCTCTCCTAGTGTGATCATATACCCTTCCTGACTGGCCTTATTGTAATGAAAATAAAGAATAATTGGGCCAGGCATGGCGGCTCATGCCAGCACTTTGGGAGGCCCAAGTGGGCAGATCACTTGAGCCCAGGAGTTTGAGACCAGCCTGGGCAACATGGTGAAACCCCATCTCTACAGAAAAATACAAAAACTAGATGGGCATGGTGGCATGCTCCTGTAGTCCCAGCTCCTCAGGAGGCTGAGGTGGGAGAATTGTTTGAACCCAGGAGATTGAGGCTGCCGTGAGCCATGATTGTGCCACTGCACTGCAGCTTGGGTGACAGAGTAAGACCCTGTTTGAAAACAAACTAAAAAGAAAAATTTTTGATGAATTTGAATATTCTGTCAACTTTTTAGTTATTCTGTCCCTTCTCCTCCAAAAAAGAGAAGCAATATTCATATCCAATGTTGTCAACACTCCATAAACAGTAAAAAACAACCAGTGTCAAGCTCCTTGGAGGTGGTGGGAATCTCAACAGGTAGCCAGAGCATGGGAACAGGGATCTGGGACAAATGTGTTCAAAGTTTGGTAATCAGGATGTTGGCATTCTATTATAAAGAGGTCCGCTGGGTGCGGTGGCTCACGCCTGTAATTCCAGCACTTTGGGAGGCCCAGGCGGGTGGATCACCTGTAGTCAGGAGTTTGAGACCAGCCTGACCAACATGGAGAAACCCCACCTCTACTAAAAATACAAAAATGAGCCAGGTGTGGCGGTGGGCACCTGTAATCCCAACTACTTGGGAGGCTGAGGCAGCAGAATTGCTTGAACCCGGGAGGCGGAGGTTGCCATGAGCTGAGATCATGCCACTGCACTCCAGCCTGGGCGACAGAGCAAGACTCTGTCTCAAAAAAAAAAAAGGTCCCAGACACCAGACTGGAATGTAAGGGTCAGAGAGCTCAAATGCCCAGGATGGGGGACCAGAAAGAAACAGGCAAGGTCTAACTCAAGCTACTGGGCACACTGCTGTAAGAGTGACAAAAATGCTAGTCAAGGTAGACCAGTTTAGGCACTAGCTTAGGGACTTGAAAGCAGCACTCCCCTTATAAGAATAGCAGTGCCACAGTGGTGGGGTGTTGATAAAGGGAGCACTGCCTTTGCAGAATGCTAGAGCAAGCCAGAGACTTTGGGAGCATAATTATTTTCAGTGTCATACAAATAACACCAACATTACCTCGGCAGGAGTCGCATCGTCCTGTTGGTGATAGTTGTGTTAGACAGATTGAGATACAGGACCCCTGGGCAGCCCTCAGAAATGTGTCTCATTGATTCATCCTGCATGAAAAACAGACAGGAGACGCTTATCAAATTATATCAGGCTTTGCAATTTCCCTATTATCTTTCTATTATCCCTCTTCCTGTTCCAGAAAAAAATACATGCAAGAGTTGCTTTCTTCATATTCTTTATCGGCTATTAGGTTGAAATGAAATTAAATAGAAGCCAATGCTTTTGCTCAAAGCATCATTACTCCCTCCTTTTCCCTTTCCTTGGAAATCAAGTCTCATTCCATCACAATGACACTTCATTAAAATGTGAACCCATGCAAGTTCAACTCTGTCACAAGAAATTTGAGCTCAAATGTCAAAGTGTCAAACACTTCTGAGTCTTCCTATGCAGGAAAGCAATTAAAAACTCATCCATTTTAAACTTATTAAAATTATTCTGAAAGACAGGAATAGTAAACACTCTCAACAGTGGAACTTTAGTAACAGTCCATATTTATACACATATACATTTATACATAGATGTGTGTGTGTGTAATTAAGCTTCTGTGGTTCTGTTAATTAAATATTTTAAATAGCTGAACAGATTTTCAACAGATTTATGGTAAGTTTGAGACGGCTAAAATAAAATATAGGCTACATACCAGTTGGGCAGGAGATTCAATGTTGGGGTTAGGGTGGGGGAGGATCTCAAAGATTCAAGCACCCTTCCCCCAGAAAGCTGAAAACTGAAGTAAGAGAGTAAGTACTGTGACCATGAAATAAGACAGAGAGAAAAACAGAGGTTTCAATCACAGATTCTACAATGAAATTTACAAGACCAGATGAATTGCAAGCATTGATTGCAACAAGCTGCTTTTTGTACAGGTAACACTATAGAAAATACAATGAGTAGCAACAGGTTTCTATTTAATGATTGATGAATCTCCCCAGGAATATCAACAGGGCACCCAGTTTAAGTATTAGTGGTGTATGCAATGTTTGACACTACCTCAGTCCCGAAAAGAATAGACTGTTGCATCTATCTGTCTGGAAGAGATTTAAATCATCACTAGGCTAGAAGATGTGGTTCTGAGAAGAATTCTGTATCAGAAATATGGCCACTCCTAACACCACTAAAGATAGTAAAGGTTTATTTTCAGCAGGATCATGGAGGTTTAACATTCCACTCATTACTATTTCCAGTAGTCATGGATTTTTAAAATAATAAAATCCTGCAGGTCAGAGCATCCATCACACTCAGATAGGAATTGGTTGATTTACAGGGGCAGCAAACCATGCCTTAAAGAGAACACAAGATTCTATTTGAAAGCTGTAAATCGATGTGATTCTGCTATAGGAAAGGTTCTATGCACCCATGCTGCATGAGAGGCCAGTGCAGAGCTTTTGATAAACACTAGTCTTAACTATAGTATTCAAGCTGTCAGCATTTTTTCTAGATGCCTCATCACCAAAATGAAGGATTTGAATAGGTGTGGATACATAAAATGTGTACAGTGCAATTTTTTCCAAAAAGAATCGAGAGAATAACCATAATGTGTGGCACTGTATTTTAATACAAAGAAAATCTGTCTTTGGAAACGTTCGGCATGCCAATCAAGTATCAAAGTGATTATACACATGTTGAAAGACCTTGGCAAAATGCAAATGAGATGAGGCAAGGAGAGGAGAAAGAGCTGGCTTAAACACCCTCAGAGAGGCAGCCCCAAAGAAGATGAAAATGTGGGGATCAGGAAGAGGAAGATGGAGTAGCTTTATGTACCACAAAGAGATCTGATTTTCTGTTTGAGATGAGGAGGCAATCCATTCTCTGCATTTTCCTGTCTAAAGAAGTTTGGACATCCAAACAAAATTAGACCACTCCCATTCTCAGATTGAGATGAGGAGGTAATGCATTCTCTACATTTTCCTGTCTGAAAAAGCTTGAACACCCAAACAAATTTAGACCACTCCCATTCTTAGTACTTAAAAGAACTCAGGATTTAATCCCCAAATGTTTGAACACATAAATGCAAAAACTGAGTACCTACATTGCAGAATGGCTTATGAATTTGTCCTCAATGTACTCAAATCCTTCTGAATGTAATATATTTCATAAGACAAGCTTAGAAATCAAAGCTCTTTGAATGAATGTTACCCAACTCCGTAAATGTAAGCCTGTGTCCCAGTCTACGTCTCAAAGGGAAAAACAATAGTAAAATGTAGCTGGATAAAATTATCGGCCCTGTATAATATTAGACTCCAAAATTGGACAAGACTTTGATGTTCACAAATTCAACGCAGATGGCATTGTTTTAACTTCCCTATTAGAGGGCCAAACTCAAAGAATCTGATATTTTACTCAAGTACAGAACTGAAGCTCCCTGAGGACAAGAACTAAAAAATGATTCATTTTTTAATTCCCTCCAACACCTAGCAGAACATATTTAACATAGTAGGTGC